TCTCCAGTTGCTTGGGCATGTAGTTTCCTTCAAATTTAGGACATTTGGGTCTTTATTTCTTCACATTGTTTTCTTGTCCCACTTCTTTCTCCTTCACCTTGAGGACTCCAATTACGCATACGTCAGGCCACTTAAGGTTTCCCCATGTTCACTGATGCTCAGTGCATTTTTAAAAGTTCTTTATTTCTGATTCAATTTTCGCAAGTTCTATTACTATAGCTTTAAGTTCACTCATTGTTTTTCTTCAGCAATGTCTAATGTGCCATTAATGCCATTCAGGGTTTCTTTATCTCACACACTGTGGTTTTATATCTAGAACTTTGGGGTTTTTTTAGGATCTCTGACTTAACCTTCTGAATACAGATATTCCGCACTTAATGACTTGCCTCGGTGGTCTGATACCTAGTGTCTCAGAAGTTGTTGTTTTATACATTGTCTGGTATTCTAGCTCTTTCGGGCAGGAGGGTAAACCCTGACCATACCACTTCAGCTTGGCCACAGGCAGCAGGCAGCTTGATGTCCCAAATACTCAAGTCTGGCTGTATCTGTTATTTAAGACCTTGCAATGTGCTCCATTGCCCTTAGGATAAAAATCCCAATTCCTTGCCATGGTCTAATAGGCCGTCTTGGATCTGCTGCCTGCCTGCCTGGGTCTCTCAGGCCGCCCCCATCTCCAAGTGCACCTGGCCTCTGTGGTCTGGGGGCTGCACCAGCCTTGGTTCTGTCCATAGCTGCTAACGTCCCACTCATTGCCTGAACAGAATTGTCACCTCCTCCCTGGACAGCTCCTTCCACACCTGTTTCAGTCCCATCAAACCCAGACAGGCTGCCAACATGGGAATGATGGTCCTCCTCACCATCCATCCCCTGCTAGTTCCTCTGCCCATCACCCTCCCACTCTGCTTACATAGTCCTCCATTTCCTCTGGAACTTGGCTTCATCACCTCCTCCTGAACACTCCCTGAATGTGTTCCTACCCCATCCACTTCCTTCCTGAATCTGAATGTATCCCTCTCCTCCCTGTTGGCTTAATACCTGGAGATGCCTCCACCCCAGCACTTTACACACAGCAGCAACAGGAATTTGTGTCCTGCCCTTTCCTCTAATGGGGCAGCAATGGGCTCTGTCTGGTTCTTTGTTCTTCCAGGTCTTTGCAGGGTGCTTTGCCTGTATTCAGGGTTTTTTGGTACTTTTTTTGCTGATAAATAAATGGACATGTGGGGCTCTCGTCTCTGCCAAGTGCTAATGGGAGTCCTTAGGGAGCTTGGGGTGCACTGCCCTTAGAAAAGGAGTCAGTGTTAGTCAAGCAGAACAAATCATATCGGATGCTGTGGGCAATGCAATTAAGCCTTTGTCAAAGTGCCGGCCTTGGGCGTGAGACGAGAACATTGTTGAAACGCCTCCCAGCTGCCGGGCTGGGGTCTGCTGAAATGGGCAATTACTGCAGGGAACAATCCATTACTTGTCCTGTCAACAATGCTTTTCCACTCTCTAAATGCAGAATGAAGTGGGAAATGCTGTGGGAACTCAGGGCATTTAATTTACTGACATGTCTCAGCAGGAGCCATTCTGTAACCTGGCCATGACAGCAATGTGGGGGACGAGCCTGAGGTTGGGATGCAGGAGGGGACCATTTAACTATCCTGTGCCTCACTGTCCCAATGTAAAATTAACTGATGGAAGGGAATGCTGGCCATGCCACTGTGGTTACCATGGCGACAGGCCAGCGGCCACCATACAATGTGGTGCTGCCCCAGGCCTGCCAATTTCATTGGCTCCTGCTTGTTCAGACATAGTGGAAGAAGTGGCTGGGAGGGCTCAGTTTTCTTTCTGAACTGAGAGATTTCTTAGCTGGATTGGCATAGTGAGGCCATGGAGCTGTCCAAGAAGGGCATGGTGCCAGGGTACGTACTCCTCATGAGGATCAGCACTGTTACCTTGCCAGGACTTGATGCCCTAACACAAATGTGGTGTGCCAGGTAGACAGACAAGAATCACACCTGGGAGGAGCCTGTCCTGCACCCTGCCTGGTATGTATCCTGGAAAGCTTCTGACCAGTGCAGAAGCTGAGCTGAGGACTGCAGGTCACAAGCCTACCATACAGGCTCCACAGGAACACTGAGATCAACACAAAGCAAGATGCTGGGGTTGGGGACCAGGGTCTGGGACCAGATGACACTGTGGCAGAGAGTGTAAAAGTGCAGGTGGGACACATGGCTAATTCAAAAAGAAAATATATATGTGCAAGATTAGTGCCCACCTGTGGGGTCTCTGACTGGTAGGGTTGCTCTTGGGGGTGCTGCAGTAGACACCTGTGTATTCCATCCTCAATGCAAGCTCCACCTCTGCTGGACAAGACTCAGCACAGAGCAGCCAGCACCACCTGAGGTCCAACCTGATCAAAGGAGGGTGTGGACAGCAGGCACCTGGGTCCACTTTGCTGTTCCTGAAAAAGCTGACTGTTGTCACGACTTTCTCACCCAGAAAGCAACCCTCTTCCTCGCCTATAGGGAAGCCAGCAGCATGACTGTCTCCCCCATGTGAGGCCTGGGTCCTGATGTGTGAGGTGAGGCTGGCACAGTCAGGTTGTCCCCTCACCTGGGCCCATGGACCAGCACCTGTGGTACTTCCCCAACCTCATGTCTGACTTCGGTCGTTATCTTCCCCATGGTCAGTTTCCTCCAGTGTCTCCCAGGCCACATGCCCTCATTCCTCTCCCAGTTAACCCATCCCAGTCCTGGACTCTGACTTGGAGCCCAGGCTCCATGTCCACTTCTGCACTGCCCACCTCAGTCATAACCACCGCTCCTGAGCTCTTGGTGTCTGTCTTAGTTACTTTTCTCTTGTTGCTGAGACAAAATGCCAGACACTCAAAGTTAAAGGAGAAAGGGTTTATTTAGCTCACAGTTTGTAGAGGTTCAGCCCATAATCGACTGGCTCCAAGGCACAGTGGCACATGGTAGAAGGGCACTGAAGAGGAGAAACAGTTAGTGGTGCCCACATGGTTGCAAAAGCAACAAGAGAACCTTAACAGCATCTTTCTGACCCTTGTGTCTTACCCTGACCACTGGAATGAGGGTGGTGCCAAACCAATCAGTGGTCTGATTTAATAATCACACACCCTTAATCCCAGCACCACATACTGTAGATTCAGTCACCTCTGAAAAAGCCCTATGACTGCGGGAGGCTTTGGGGGAACCTCTAGACACAAACCATAATAGTGTTCTTGTCCTGCTGACCCCACTCCTCTGGCCCTCTCCAGCTGCCCCTACCAGGCTGCCAGCCAGTGGTCTTTGAACCCTTTGCGGGGTTCCCACTGCCTTTAAGGGAGCTTCTGACTCCTTGGGACCTTTGGTAATGATTTGCAATCATTTCCATTTGCAACCGTTTACCCCTCATACACTGAATGTTCCTCTCCACTGGTTGAGCACCTAGGACATACTGAATATACAGCAACTGACAGGTTCAGGATCCCTCACACAGCCCTCTCAGGATGGGAATGCCAGTGTACTCCTGCTTTACAAGGGGGGAAACTGAGGCCACAGCCTTTGAGCCCAGGTCTTTCTGGCCCACTCTGGCACATTCGGATGCCCAGTGGGGTGCTCAGCCCATGTGTGCTGTGCCACCTATGTGCAATCTATAACAAGATCCCGTGATGAAACATGTGTGAACAGCGCCTCTCATTCTCTAAAGTGTCTTGCCCTGTGCTTGTCCTGCTGGGCAGCTGGGCTCCTGGAGGGGACAGGTAAAGAGGCTCCTGTGCCTATAATTGTACAAAGCCCACTGTCTCACACTCCTGCCCTCCTGACTGCCCTTCCTCTGACTCAGACACACCCCTCACTGCTCCCTGCCTGAATATTACTTTGGGGCTCAATCTGGGGAGGACTTCTTTACCCCTAGGACCCTCCACACCGTCCCGCCTCCTGCACCCTGGCCCTCCCGCTGGGCCAGCGTAAGTTGGCAGCAGAGTGACATCCACCCTGTCTGGTTTGTGAGTCCTCATGGGTTTACATCAACTCTGCCTTCCTTCAGGGCTGCCCAGTGCTTCCTGGCCCACAGCAGTGCTGTATCCACATGCAAATATGCAGTCCACAGTAGTGGGCATGTGGACAATGAGCCTCAATAGGTAGGGCCCTCGCCTAACTCTTGTCCTATCAGCTGAGACTCAGGGAAACACAGCCTCCATTATGTCTATACCATCTCCACTGTTCACACCTGGGAAGTCACTTCCTAGGGATGCACAGTGGGCCACTTCCTGTATTTTATGGCTCCAGAGGACTTATATTCCTTTTGCCCTTTCACTCCTACTTGATGGTTTCTGAGAGGATCAGGCTGGGGTGGGAAGGGACGTTCTGGGCTGCATCTCTGCTCTAGGTGGCTTCTGTGGTGGCTTGAAAGGACATGTGGCATGAGACCCAGAGCAGCTGTCCCCAGCCTCAGCAGGGCTCATTAGCTCAAGTGCTCAGCTTCCAAGCAGGACATGGTTACCTTCTTGATGCCTTAAAGCCCACCCTGATGTTCTCTCCCACCATCCTGGGGTCAAATTGGCTTTTTCCTCAAGTCTGACCAGCCTAGGGATTGACCGTGTTGCTGTAAGTGACCATCTTCCTTCCAGGCACAGACACTTGAGAAGGGGTCTCTGATCTGTGCTCCTCACCATATCTTGTTAGATGCTGCCTTGCTGGGGACCCTGAAATGTGCCCAAGTGAGGGCCTCCATGAAACCCGGTTGTCTCCCCTGGGCATGAAGGGTGCCAGGCTATTTTTACTAATCCACAAGGTCCCCCTGCCACCTACCCATAAAACTTGTGAATTTCCTAGCTCATTTCTGCTGCCACGATAGAGTAACACAGTAAGTGTGCTTCCTGGAGATCAGCAGACTAAGATTATGATGTTCAAAGTCAACTTGTCCCATGGTGGCTTGCTCAAGACCTGATGTCCTTGCATCAGCGTCCTTGCATCAGTGTCCCAGCCCAGAGGCCCTGGGATCCACATTCATACCTGCAGAGAGAGCTCCCCGGGTCTGGCCAGTGGCTGGCTGGGCTGTGTGATGAGGACAGCTGCCCGTTGGCGGGGAGCCAGCTGGGTGTGGGGCTTGGGCCTGTGGTGTGGTGAGGGGCAGGGCTGGCCTGCTTAGGCTGCCACCGCCAGGGTGCATGGTAGTGGCCATGCCTTTAGCCAGAGGAGATCCTCCAAGCGCACTATTCCGGGGTGGCCCAGCTGCTCCTCCAGGAGCCCTGGGGAAGCAAACAAGAGTCCAGTCAGGGGACACCCAGATGAGTCACGGCCACTGTCACTTACAGGCCCTGAGAGATGGAGGTAAGGTGGCCCAGGAAAATCCTAAACAATGCTTGACAGTGCTCCAGGTGAGCAGAAGGCAAGCTTTACTGGACTGACTCCCAAGGGACCCTCAAGAAACAAGAGAGCCCCAAGGGAGCCCTGAGGGACAGGGCAATCCCAGCCCAAAGTCCAGTACCAGAGCACAGCCTCCACTCATCCTAACAACAGCTGTGGTCTCCAGGCACAGCCCGAGCAACGGATGACCCCTGAATGCCCTGAACCATGGGTGGGGTGGGGATAGGGAACAGGCAGCATGGCTCCCTCCTGAGGATGCCAGGGAACTTGCAGTTTCACACCAGAAAGGTGCTTTTCATCCCAAAGCTTCCAGGTGAGGCCATTGTGTACAGAGGACCCCAGCCATTGTGTGTGTGGTGGTGGTGGTGGGGTCTGGCCCCATACACATCCACATTATGCCCACAGCTGGCTCCTGGGACAAGGGATGGGGCAGAGTCTGGGGGTTGGAAGCAATGGGTACTGGGATATTTTCCCTCTGCTGGGCTGGAATCTCCTGTCCCTGTCCCTCCAGGACATCCCTCACAGATGCAGGAGCAACATGGGAGCAGACAGGCTCTGCCCTCCCCACCTCTTCCCTCCCACATGGAACCAAAGGCCTGGGGGAGGGGCCCACAGTGCCCAGGGCGGCTCTGCCCAGTAGCTGTGGGGAAAGGGTCACCCAGAGGGAGCCCTGGCCCTTGGCAGCTCAGGGTTGGCCAGCAACCCCTTTTCCCCTGCAAGGAAGACCGTGGCAGTATGGGAAGAGAGCTCTTGGAAAGACATTTGAGTCAAATGCACCAGATTTCCTTTATCTACTCAACTTGCATTTACTGAGCACCTGGCACTTGCAGATGGAATGCAAGGAACCCAGGGAGCAAAGCTGCTCTGAGTGACCACACTGCCCTGGACAATAGGCCACTGGGGACATATGGCATGGGAGGGACTATGGGGCAGGCTTTGTACAGTAGGGGACTAGATAGCTCCTGGGCGCCAGATCCTGTGGCCAGGGAAAGAGGCAAGAGGGCATTCCAAGGAGCCCCACTAGGGAGCTCTGTCTCCTCTGGGTAAAGGACATGAGTGGAGGAGCAGGTAGAGAGATGCCCAGGAAGGGTGCTCCCACCTTAGAGCCTATTAGCCACCTCAGACTACTCAGGGTTTCCTTGGGGCTCCAAGAACAGGCTTGGCTGTGGGTGATGGCCAGCTGTGAGCGAGCTTAGGGTGAGCCAGGCCTGAGGCCCTCAGACCCAGCCTGGCTGCAGGCCTGGGCCAGCTGCACCCTTTCATGGCCATGGGAGGCAGAGGGGCTTCTCAGGCTTCTCCCTGTCGAGGTCACCCAAGCAGAGCATCTTCCACAAGCCTCCCTTGTCCCTGCAAACCTGGCACTCTTCGGGAAGAATCAAAGAATGCCCTGAATCATGGAATCCACCTCAGGGTCCTAATCTAATCCACTCCTGTCTTCCAAAGCCACCATGACAGCAAGAACCCATCAGTAATCCTGTAAGGCCCAGCATCACTGAATACCCTCATAGTCCTCCTCCCAGGACAGATAAGCCCTGAGGGCAGATCCTTGGGTCACTAGCATGGCCTGCAATGGGGAACTGAGCCGAGCTCAAGGGCTGCTGTGGGCAAAACTGATCCTCCGCTCAGAGAAAAATTTGGTCACTTCAGTGAATCTGTAAAATTGCTCTTTTTGAATTTTTAAACATTGTATAACACAGAATTCCTAAGACACTAGAAGGAACAAAGAAAAAAAATTAAATTGTTGATAATGCTTCTGCTCAAAGCATGCTTTACCCTTCCTTTTTGCAGGTGTGTTTTTACATACATCTGTGAGGATGCACACACAATATACAAATCCACACTGTGTGCTCACACCACATGCTGTGTGTACATGCTGTGCACAGACAAGAACACTGTGCCCACACTGGCATACACACTAAGGTGGCACATTCACTGCAGATGTACACTTGGAACCCAGCACCCACACATGCACACACACGTGCATCACAAGTACCCACATGCACATACACCACACTCACGTGCATGCATACATATAAGCATATGTGCTGCACAATGTACTGCCTGCCCTGCACATGCTGTGTAGAGAGAACGCACAAGCACACACACACACTTGAAGCCTTGCTCTCTGGTGATCTCCGTTCTCCCAAGTCTGGCTCCTCTATGGCCAGTGTACCTAAGGGAGCCAGGCAGACCCAGATCCAGAGGAGCTGCCTGCAGGGAAAGTTTGCAGGCCCAGCTCAGCATGGCCTCCTGCAGTTTCCAAAGTACCAGGGATCAGGGCCTCATTCCCTCCATGCCCAGGCAGCAACCTTCACCTGGAGATAGGCGTCACGTAGTTCCCAGGGAACACCCCGGAGAGCCCAGTCCGCATGGAGGCGCCCTTGAACCAGCCATCCTGGCACTTCTCCAGCACCCGGTACATCTCACCCTTGCGCAGCTCCAGCTCATCGCTCTTCTGGGGCTTATAGGCATAGAGGGCCAGGTACCTGCAAGTGAGGACAAGACAAGGACCAGGTCAGCACACACCTCCTGGAGCACAGTGGCTGCAAGGCAGGATGTGGGGGCACATGGGGCTCAACCTTGGCCCTCTGCAGTTACAGAGTCACACCCTCTTCCACCCTGTGCTCCTGGGAGGCTCTGGAAAAGGAGCCTGTGTAGTGTGGACACAGTGTGCTGTGGCTCCAAGGCCCAGGACTGGATGTGGGGCCCCACCTTTGCATCTTGAAATGTTTCCATATGCTTCATATTGTCTAGAGTCTGATGTTTTGAGCAGGAGAAACTCTAAGGGAAAACCGAGTGTGAGGCCAGCTTCCCGAGCTAGGCTCAGCATGACCTGGCTTGGTCTATGAGCCTGCTTATCCAGAAGAGCACAGAGGCCTTTTCTGCAGAACAGTGGCCTCCATCGGGAATGGCTGGTGCACACTTCCTTGCCATATCTAGGCAATGACTTGTTTTTCTTTTAGGCTGACTTAGTGGAGCAACCCTGGCCTGGGTTTGTTAACCACAGCCCTAAGGTCAAGCCCCTCTGGGAACACACCAAGGATCCCTTGGCCCCAGCCAAGGTGAGGATGCACAAACTTGTAGAAGTCTGAGGATGCCTGGTTAGTGGGGCCTCAGCCCCACAAGAGGTGAGAGATGAATTCCAGGATAGGTGTCCCCAGGATCTGGTGCCTGGACTGGCTGCTTGGTGGAGAAGCTGACCCCACCTGGGGGCTGTGGGCTCCTGGCTCCTGTAGGACAGGTCTCTGGGGCTCAGGGGCCCAAGAACTACTCAGAACCCTGATTCTAGGAGGAGCCTTCTTAGGAGGCAGAAACAAAAATGGGGCCCAGGTCCCAAGGGACAAACTCAAAGAAGAGGAATACCTTAAAGACAAGTTGTATTTTATGGTGCTGGGCATCAAACATAGGGCCTCACACTTGGTTCTGTGACTGAGCTACACCCCCATCCTGAGGAATATTCTAGAACAGAATGAGAACCCTGTTGACACTAAAGATTTATTAGCCTTAAAATACAATTTGCCATCCATTTCCAACATCCCAATCCTGCAGGTGTGAGGCTCTATGGTGTTGGGAGGTAAGGGGTGTGTGCAGCCTTGGGTCTCAGCATCCCATGGGGACATCTTGCCTTGTGCTTCCCTGTGGAGACAGTTAGGAGCAGTCAGGGACAAAGCCATCAGGGGACCCCCATCATGGGCTTACAGATTTATGATGTCCCCCCATCCTAGGAAATAGAGAGCCAGGGCATAACCGTCCCTGTGAAGGGCACAGAGGTCATTGGGAGAGCTCAGCAGGTGAGGATGGCATCTCCTCTGGGCCATGTGGGTCCACAGTGCTGGGCTGGGGGCAAGGAGAGGGAGCAGTGATGACTGCATGGTGGGAGGCAGCAGAGATGACAGAAATGACACCCACCAGGCATTGTGAGCTGCCCTCAGGAAAGTAACTGAAGTGTGAATCCTGCTGGAATCACCCAGTCTGTCACCATATCAGGATACTTCTACTCGGCCATAGCAGAGTCTCAAGGTCCAAGTGCAGCTCCCCCCTCCCCAGTGTCTTCGTAGGGGTGAGAGGATGGACTCCCAGGTGCTGCACTCAGGGACGACCGGTCTGTTGAACAAGGGGCCTGGCGCCCCATGCTCTGTTCCAGCCAGGGCCTGTGGGCTGGCCCACACCTCAGCCTTGCTGTATCCTCCCACAGGGACATCTCGGAGTGAAGGGCAGGCTTCCAGGGCCACGCTGTCTGTCCTGGAGCAGCACCCTACAGTGACCTGTCTGGCCCATCTGCTCCTTCGGGGCCAAGGCTCCAAGCAGCTCTGCTTTTTCTGCCCAGCACTTGCACCTCAGTGCTGCCTCCTCAGTCCCAGGGACAGGGGAGATTCTCAAGAAATATTTATTATTGAAGGAAAAATAAAACAAAGGCCCTGAGTTTGAGACTGAGGTTCAGCCGGCCCTGTGTGGGCACAGGCATGGGAGTGTGAAGCCATGAACGGGGTCTGCTGTGAACCTCACCACACCCATCCAGCTCCATGGGTACAGTCAGCATCCATCTCTCAGCTGGGAATCTGTTTCCTGTAGAACAGCAAGTGTCAGCACCAGTGAGAAATGGCCATGGCCATCGGAATCAGCTGACACAGAGCTCATGGCCCAGGGAGGAGCTGATGACCTCACTCTTGTAGGATTCCTGTTCATTTACTGGGATGAGGACTTTGTGTTTCCATCCTTCCCACTGAAATAAAGATGAAGATTCTTTATATCTAGGCTTCAAGTCATTTGAAGACCTTTAGGTTAGAAAAGGATTCTTTCAAATAAGCAAGGACATGGTTCCTAATAAGATAACATAGGCAGGAAAATGGGAAATTAAGGGGGGTCTGGCCAGGTATGTTGTCCTCAGTGCCCACTGAGCGTGCTGTATGGGGCGGCCCACGGGTGTAGACACCAGTGCTAGGCTGCACCCACTTCCTGAGGTGCAATCTGTGAGAGCTGTCCTTCAAGCTTGCAGGACAGACTCTGGTTTTGTGCCACATTCAGCCTCTTCAGCAGGACCCCTGTTCCTTGGCAGGGGAAAGTCTGGAGAGTTCTGTTTATCAGCTGCTCTGTGGTCCAAACACCCCTCAGGTGCTGGTTTACCCCATGTTCTATGCAGAGCTGAGCCCACCGCAGGGCTGTCGAGAAACGGGGTGGGGCAGGGGAGGACAGGGCACCCCCTGCCACTTGCAGACGCAAGGCCTCGTCTGTATAGCACAGGAACCTCAAGGTTCCATAGCTGGGGAAACTGAGGTTGAGAGACTGGGAATCCATCCGTGCTCCTGCATATCCAGAGGGGGGCCAGATCTGGGACTTGGAGCTACCAGTGTGGCCCAGGGACACAGTTGGGTGCAGGCAGTGTGACCCCCACTTAGGGAGGCTGCATGGTCTGCACAGGGACTGACCAGCTTGGCCATTTCGTCTTCACTGCAAATGAGTTCTCTCCAATGGGCAAGCTGTCCTCTGTCCAGGTCCGGTCTGTCCTCTGGGGGTACACTGATGGGGATCCTGGATGTGAATAAACTGCCCCAAACCTTCCTTCTCCTCTTCCTCTTCTTTCTCTACCTCCTCCTCCTAATCTTCCCCTTCCTCCTCCTCCTCTTCTTCCTGTTCCTCCTCTCTTCTTCTGTTCCTCCTCCCCTTCCTATTTCTTCTCTTCTTTCTCTATCACCTCCTCTTTCTTCTCGTTCTCCTCTTCCTCCACCATCTCCTTTTCTTCCTCCTCCTCTTCTTCCTCCAGCACCTTCTCATCCTCTTTCCTTCACTCCCTTTTCTCCTTCTTCCTCCCCCTCCTCTTCATTCTTCTTAGGGTGCCTCAGAGAGGAGACCAAATGTGGATGGGGCTGTTGGAGGCTTTGCTGTCCAGACAATGGAGTACCCGGCACGTGGCTCGTGTGGGGGTGGGGCACCAGCAGAGGTGGTGTCACTTGCATGTATTTCCCTTGAGTCACTCAAGGGAATGTGTCTGTGGGTGGCACTAGAAGAGCCGCCTGTGTCCAGGGGGTGGCCTCGGCCCTCTCCACCTGCCTCCAGCCCTCTGAATCTTGGCAGACCACCTCTGGCACCTGCTGCTTCCCAGCTCCAGTGACAACCACAGCAGCTTGTATGGATGGGCCCCTGGCACAGGTCCCAGGGCCAGTATGGGCCAGGCCAGGAGCATGTGGGCTGCATGTGCTCACCCTCAGCTCCATGCGTGTCTGATGCAGTGCTAGTATACAGCGAGCAGACGGCCAGGCTAGGCAGGCTCTGGGGGCTCCATGAGGTACTCCACCTATACCCCTGTGTACCCACACCGCGTGAGCCCAGCAATCCTCCCCATCTGTTTGCAGACTGCACTCTCCTTTCATCATGGTGACCAAGGGCTCCAGCGACTGCACTCTGGTGCCTGTCCTGGCTTGTGTCGCTTCTAGAGTCTGGAGAGGCTTTGTCCTGTCCTGCCTACTGAGATGGTTGCTTCTGCTCTGTTCGTGCCATGGCCACAGGTGCACAGGGACCTGTATGCTGAGCACTGCTTTTCCCTTTAGAGGTGACTCCCAATGACTAGGACCAGCAGAAGGTAGACAGAGCCTAGGGAACCCCCCACAGGTGATAGATGGCAGGTAATTCAGGTCCAGGTCTGCACAGGGTCACTGCTGGCCCCAAAGGCAAGCTCAGTGCTGCAAGGTGACTGGGTGCTGGGCTTAGGAGCATGGCTGCTACTGTCTCTTCCTGAGGGCAGAGCCCTGGTCTGAGCTGGCAGTGTTCTTCTGAGCTCCAGCTCTTGCACACTGTTGTGTGAGATGGGTTCTGCTGGGCAGTTCCCAGTGTTGCAGAGCCCACAGCAGGGAGGCAGCTTGGGGACCAGCGTCTCCCTACACTGAACACCTGGACACTTGCCTATGTTCTACAGCACTGGGGCCTCCCATTCCTTGCCTGCTCCAGGGGGCCCTGAGAAGTCTGCAGTCCGTGTCTAAGGCCTGGGGTCCCACTGTGTTCCCGGGGAGGCCTCAGGTGGGCCCCTCTCAAGCACAGGTAGGGCAATGGCTTTGGGAATGCCCACTTCCCTTCTCTGTGGGGCACAGTGTCCTTGGGTGTGGCCCCGGCACTGGATGCTCACAGGCCTCAGGATGACGGTGGCAATGGTGAAAGGTAGAATAGCACGGAGGACTCCCAGCACTGTGGTGGAAAGAGAGGGTGTGTGGCAGTGTCTCTGCAGAGGTAGGGTGCACCCCAAGAGCCTCCAGCATAGCGGATCTCAAGAACAAAAGACCAGTGCCAGGGACCCCACATGCGAGGAGACGGGCAGAGCACAGATCTTGCTGCCAGCAGCACAGCCTGAGTCTGGTCCCCAATCAGGATCCAAGGCCCAGGATGCAGCCAGAGGGAAAAGCCCCACTGTGAGGAGGATCACAGGGTCCCCAGAGCTATTCTACAACTGATGGCCAAACCATGGGGCTGTGGCTTGTACCCCAAGGCCACCACCCCTCTAGATGACATCACAGGAGTGTAGTGCCATAGCTATTTCTGTGCAAAGATCTCATTCAGGTTAATTTCTGACTTTGAATGTGACTTGTGGAAGCTGTTTGAGGAAATAACCAGTAAGGAGCAATTGTACCTCTGTCCCAGTGCCGGTCCCCAGCACCCATGGGGTCACTGGCTTCTCAGAGCTAAAGAGGGTGGTAAGGGTCAGGCTGGGCCCTGATACACTAGGAGCAAAGACCTTTTGCCTCCTAGGAAAAACAGCAAATGTGATATTCAGAATGGACTCTGTGTGTTACTGGAGGTGTGTGAAATTCCCAGCCTGTGCCCGAGCATGGCTCAAACAGCTGCAAATGTCCTCACAGTCACAGGGCCACACCCACCATGACAGGGCTGCTGCCCCAACTCCTCTGCATCACGCAGTCACTGAGAGTCCTTATCATCCTCAGAAGGACATCCTCTGACCCATGAGTGTCCCTCCCTACTACTCAGATGCAATCTCAAGCTAAACAGCAGCTGCACCTGGAGGTGAGTTTTCCAGCGACCTCATCTTGTGATAGGGCAATCAAGAGGTCACAACACCTTCGCCAAAGTTAAGAGCTGTCCAGGACATGGAGAAGTGTCCACATGTCCCCAGCTCCTAGGGAGTGACGGACACTCTTGGAGCTGACACAGAGAGGAGGGCACTCTGCACGCAGGGGTCAGGGAGTCCATGTGTAGCATGTGGAGCCAGGATGAAGTCTTGTCACATGGCCTGTGCCCTCCTGTCCTGTGGGGAAGTGCCTGGGGGCCACCCCTGGGGACATGGGTCTCCTCTTGGGGGACACTGTCCTGAGTGACTTCCCCTGTGTCTCTCCAGCCCTTGGCTTCAATGAGGCTGCAGAAGTGGGTCCAGGAGAAGGCCCAGAAGACAACAGGCACTGAGGACACTGTGACCGGCAGGTTCTGGGTTCCTCACACCTCAGAGCTGACTTTAAACCATCTCTCGATTGCTGATGACACCACACACGCGCATTTGGTATAAGGCTGGGAGCAGGAGAAGTTCAAATTTTGCTGTTTGCAAGTTTCTGAATTTTTCCTGGTTTGGGGGACGCCCCCAGGGCCATGTGCATGCCAGGCGAGGCTGAGCACAGCACTACTCCCCCATCCCCTGAGTGTTGTTCCATGCAGGCTGAGCCCAAGGGCACAGCAGGGCTGACTGTCTGTCTTCTGCCTAGCTCTGGTGAAAACTCAAGTTTAACCTAAAGACACCTGGAGTGCAGCTTACTGATCCATGTTCCTTTTGGGAGCCAGGTAGAAACTGGGGAATCTTGACCTGCTTTCATGGATTTGGGGAACCCCACAGGTTAGGCAGGCCAAGGGAGGTATTCAGAGCTCCCCTCCACAAGAGGCTGATGTGTGGCCAGCCCAGAAACCCAGTGAGGGTGTCCTCACAGCAGAGCCCTTGGAGGCATGGTATGCTGCATTCTCCAAAGCATTTTTCCCCTAAAAGACATTCCATTTTGCAACCACCATCTTCTGAGTGAGTATCTGGTGTTCCTGGGTTGGTGGAGCTTTCTGTCCTTGTCCTTCTGTCTGCCGAAGTCGAAAAGCTCCACCTTGAAGTACCCATTCACTCACCAGACTGAAATCATCACCAACACAGAGGCAAGGGTAGCCTAATTTTTCAGGACACTACTGAAATGGAGAGCTTTGAAACAGCACATATGTCTTAAGACCTGAAATTTAACAGATTTTCTGAACAAGATTGTGAGTTATACTGGGGTTGGCCGAGCAGTGGCACAGGTGTGGACTCCAGCTCTGGAGTCACCAGCTGCCCGGCCACCCTAGAGCCAGAATCTGGGGCCTGCTCTGGACTGTGGAAGCTGCTGTCCCTATGCTGTTACTCCCCAGGACAGTGTCTTTACAGACTCTGCCAGGCTTGCGCTTTGTCCTTTGAGCAGTCTTGCAGATGTATGCAACTGCACTGACTAGCTGGTTACCCCATGAACACCCCAGAAAGAGCTACATGTGCAACTGCTGTGTGTGTGTGTACTGGGTGCCAGAGGGAGGACCTGGCAGGCAGAAGGGGACGCTCACACATTCAGGGGCAGCGGGACTTTGGGAGACGTGCCCTGCTCTCCAGCTGCTGTGGAGGCTCGCGGGACAGCTGTGGGGACAGGTCCAGCCGAGCAGGGGTCCTGGAAACAGACAAGAGGAGACAGGAGTGAGGAGGGGGACAAGCAGGCTGGCCATGGGAGACCCACACACCCTCCCCAGATGTTAACATCTGTGTCTCAGCCCATCGGAGCTGGCAGGCAGGACAGCTGCCACCAAGGAGCACTCACGGGCCCCTTCTGAGCCCCCCTTGGTCACCAGGGGAGAAGGTCTGGCTTGGTGTCAAACCCAAGTTAGTTATTCTTGTCTCTGTTAAAGAAAGCCAGACACAATCTTTCATATTACAGGATACAGCTTATTTAAAATCAGCAACCCCAGGAACTTCTAGCGAGGTGACAGTAAGAGGCTGGTGCGGGTGGCAGGGTTCACAGAGCAGCATCTCCCCCCAGACCAGAGGGCTTGAGGGGTCACATCCTCACATAGGACACATGCAACCATGGCCCATGAGCAGGCATCCATTCCCAGGTCAGGTGGACCAAGCCTGGAGACGTGTACTATGGCCAAGGACATTATGGATAGGGCCAGTGCTATCCCCAAGTCCCCTTGACACCCAACTATACATCCCCTTGCTGTCTTCCCTTGCAGTTGTTCTGTCCTGAGAGACTCTAGGAGGCATAGGGTTAAACTGAGTCCCCCTCAAACGACTCTGTAATGAGCACCAAAGCCCAGGTCACCTGCCCATTCTGCTCTGGGTGTGAAGAACAGTCCACCAAAGCCAACACACACCATGACCTGCAATTTCCAAGGAGAAACTCTCCCTCCTTGCTGATCAACAAGAGAGATGGCAGTGAGACCAGCAACAGGGACACAGCCCTGTCTCCAAGGCAACCACTGTAGGCTCCCTTCCCATCCCCATCTCTAGGAGCTCCTTCCTTTTTTTTTTTTTTGGTACCGGGGATCGAACTCAGGACCTTGGGCTTTCGAGGCAGGCACCAAAACCCCTGAGCTAAATCCCCGGCCCCAGGACCTCCTCCCTTCCCAGCCCCATCTCCAGGACCCCTCTCCCTTCTGAACCTAGCCTCGAGGCCCTCCTTCTTTTCATCCCTGTCTCCAGGACCTCCTTTCCCTGATGCCCTGTGAGAAGACCCCATGTTCTCCAAAGTCTATTGGGAGAACTCCAACTTCAGGGGCCACAGTCACCTGGCTTCTCCTTTCTGCCCTGTCAGTGACAGAGAAGTTGGAGTTTGGGTTCTGAGGGCTGTGGCCCATGTGTGGGGAGGATGGCAGTGCTGCTCAACTTACAAGAAGAATAATCAAACTGTGAGTGCCAATCCCACACAGCTCAGGTTCTGCCACTTGGGCTTCTCTCTGATCCTGAGACACAGAGACACAGAGGAGAACAATCCCCTAAACCTAGCAGCATAAATAACAGACCCAGCAGGATGGAAACAGACAGGGACTTCACGGTGGCTCCATTTATAGTGGGGAAAACCTGAACAGCTCAAGCATCCAGGTGTCCCAGGATGGAGGCCTGCAGGCCAGGGACAGCTCAGGACAGGAGGGTGTGGGGGGCAGGTGGGCTGTGGGAATGGAAGGGGAGTCAGGAAGGTGGTTTGGAGAGTGACTGCCTTCCTGAAAGTGCCTGTGTTTGTTTCCATGGCAAGAAGTCCAGAGACCCACATATCAGTGACAGCATGAGTTCTTTGGGAGTTAGGGTTTGGGACAATTTTAATTTTTTTAATCTAATGTGTTCAAGTTGATGGAGTGTCCTGGCTTCCTGACTCTACCTGTGCCATCTCTGTGGGTGCTGGGAGCCATTGAGAAGTGCAGGGGCGGGCACTGTAGTATCTACGGGTGCCATGAGTTCACTCCTCCACAAGACATGTGTCACATGTGCCTCTGAAGCAGAGGAGGTCACGAAGGGTCAGACTCATCCATGTGACACCAAGGTGTCTGGTGCCTTTGGCTTTGACTACATCCTGGCTTTCTGCCCAGGCTCAGCAGCTTCCACTCTGTTTAGGATCCTAACAGCTTCATTTATACCATCCTGGGCCTGAAGGATTAGTGAGGACTTGGCAGGGGAAGAGTCAGGCAAAGATAAAATAAGAAAGGAGAAAGGGCCCTGGCTGCTTTGGAATAAAAACAATTGGCCCCAGCCCTGCAGCAGGTGGGTCCTGGCTCCAGGATTACTGGTGGAAACCTTGGCTCGAGCTTCACAGCCAAGAGCAGACCTGCTTGCTGCGGCACTGTGCCCACTGGCCCCTGCACAGGAAAGGTCTTTGGCTGTGATATGGTCAGACTGAGCCATATTCTGCTTAAATGGCTCCCTAAGGGACACAGGTGGGCTGCCCAGGCAGGCGCCCGAGACAAACAGCTGGTACCTCAGGAGAGGACGTAGTGCCAGAGTCTGCTCCAGAACAACCACCCAGAAATTCTTCTGAAGCAGTAAAAGCCTGGCTAGGAGTGTCTGGCAGGTGCCCAGCACAGGCAGGGTCAGTGAGGTACCCTCCAGGGGGACTCAGCATCCACAGAGGAACACTGATGCTATACCACCCCCAGCCCCAGGGCTCCAGAGGCCGAGGAACTCAGCTGTCCCGAGGGCCCCTGGCACCCTCACCCCCCTCCCACAGTGGGACGGAGGCCGGTGGCTCAGCAGGCACATTCCAGGCTGCCCATCAGTAAGGACGGGGCTGTCCTTCATGATGGTTCCTGGGTGGAGGAATTCCAGCTCCTACTCCTGGTCCTCCAAACCTGAATCATCAGGTCCTACTGATGCCAGAGGCCCCTAAGCAGCCTCGGAGGGCATGTCATTGTGTTGGGATCAGTGAGAGGGAAAGAGGGGTGCAGCTGGCAGGCAGCAAAGGGGCTTTGTTGACAAAGATCCTGAAGAAGCATCTTCGTATTTTAATTTTTAATATGCACCCAGGGAGCACTGCCATTGTCCCAACATGCACACCACTCGCATGTTTTATTCACTCCTCATGACCACTTCAGTACACAAGTGTAAACCCAACCCTCTCAGACTCGCTTCCCAGAGAAAACTTCCGAATAAGGCATTTAGGGCTTCACTCTTCTCAGCTCTGTAAAAAAATGGCAGTAACTTGTGTGCCAGAGGCCAGGGCTGGGCAAAGGCCCATGAAACTCCACATCTGCTCACAGCCTAGGACAGAGGTGATCCCAACAATCTCCTCCGAGTGTTCCAGGTTAGCTCAGGAACCTGAGATGTAGACACCAAGGTCTGGGTCAGACACAGCCCATGTGTCCGCCTTGCCTCTGTCTTGTGAATAAAGGTTTATTGGCAGCCAGCCTCCTTGTTTATGCATTCTTTGTCCTTAGCTGCACTGACAGGAGAGGGCCGAGCCCACATTGCCATAGGCTCTGAAACATTCAGCACTGGAGTCTGTCATAGGAGGGCAGCTGCTCTTTCTCCCCAACTTACTGGGCCATGAGTTTGGACCACAAGGCACACATGTGGCCAATGGTGTAATGAGGCATCCCCCAGTGTTACTAAGGAGAATAAGGAGGTAGGAGGGCTGGGGGAAGACAGCACCCTCAAATCTCTAGTTGAGGAAGTGAAAACCCTAGAACATCAGAGCAAGAAGGCAAAATCTGTGAAGGAAACCATAGGACTGCTTCCCACCTGACTGGGGCTTTGCAAATTTCGAACCAAGTGATTCTGCCCTGGAAAGAGCCACAGATGGTTGCATCCCCGGCTTCTTCTTTGCCTTCTCTCCCTGGGACAATGGTTGTTGGGTGGCCTGGTGGTGGGAAGGCAGGAGACCACAGAGGTGCTTCCTGTGAGTCCATCAGACAGCCATCCTTCTGTGCACAGAAGGCATCATCTTCATGGGGCGATCTGCCATCCTGCCTCCAGACAGGAAGTGTGCAGGAGGGACCTAGTTCACTGTGGCACCACTCACCCACCCTGCAGAGCCACTCTGCTCAGGGAGACTCATAGGTCGGTCATATGGGTGGAGATGATGTGATGAGGGCCTGGGTGTGAGCGCACAGGGGTCAACAGGTGAGGGGGCTCACAGAGGGGAGGCAGCAGGATGCAGGGCAGGAGGAGGCCCTTCAATTCCACCTCACACTGTAGGCAGAGCCAGGAGACAGGTACTCTGGAAGAAGCTGACCCACAGCCCTGGGTGTCCTTCCTGACCTGGTCTCTTCTGTTCTGTGCAGGTGCATGGGCCTTCCTGCTGTCCACCCTCTGCAGCACAAACCCTGTTCACCTCTTGGCAGACCCTGCATGTCCTTGGGACTGGGGCCCAGGACGAGACCCTCTGTGTTCCACAGGACACAGCTTTCCCTTGGGATCTGCCAGCTCACCTGGGCTTCCTGGCCAGCACGTGCCCAATAAGAGCTGCACTGTCTCATCCCATGCCAAGGGGATACAAGGAACCTTCCCTATGTCTCCTGCCTGTGCCAGCAGACAGCCCCAGGGCACAGGCAGGACCAATGGTGCAAGTGAAGCACTTGGCATTCAACAAGACTCGGGGCACAAAGTCTCTACTCCCAGGCCACAGTGTCTGTCCTCTTTTCCCACTCTCAGGCCACAACTGGTCATCACAGAGGCCCAGCTACTTCCAGGTTTGCAGAAAGAAAAACCTCTTGGATCAGATCCTCACCATAGATTTGCTTTTTATTTTGTGTACCTTTTATCCATATTTGAGTGCTTCTCCCATGCGTAAAATAACATGCTCCAACACAGATGGCAGTGCCTGGTGTGTCCTGTGTCCACCATCTTGTGACTGCATGGAGTAGCTACACTGACCTTCTGGTCTGTGTGAGGTCTGTGATGTTTGCCAGATGACAAGACTGTTAACCATGGATTCCCAAAACTTGTCCCCATCACTCCGTGATGTAGGGCTGCTTTGTCCTCAGCTCTGGTAAGCAACACCTGGACCTTCAGTAGTGGAACTGGCCAGCCCAGTGCATCTCCTCCGGTCCACAGCAAAAAGCTGGCATGAGAGTACAACCCAACTGCATTACTCAGGAGGAGGGGACGTTTCAGATGGCCACAGGCGTGAGCAGGGTGCACAGGAGTGTTTCTGGGTATCCCAGGGTGGGTAGATGGCCAGGGCAAGGGGCAGCAGGGAGGGACAGGGTCTTGGTGAGAGATGAGCAGAACCAGAATGTTGAGGGGCAGTGGGTCTGTGTGGATGGAGCACAGGATCGTGACTGGTCATGCTGGAAAAGGCTAAGTGACAGGCTCTTGAGCTGACAGGCCTCCAGGGGGGTGGCAGAAAGACCTGCTTCCTTGTTCCTGTTCTGTTCGGAGGGATGTAGACGAGGGGTCTGAGTCTAGGGCGACTAAAGTCTTGGCTCAGGAACCAAGGAGCAGAGTTGCTCCTGGAGGCACAGATGGAACAGGAAGGAGGCTTCCAACTTGTGCTGAGCCAGGCTCCTCTGCAGGGCATGCCATTGCATAGGTGGGGAAGAAAATGTCTCTTAGCAATGTAATGAGGAATTTACACCACATGGGGTTCAGGAGGTGCTGGGTCTGGCGTGGAGAACTTGGTGAGAGGGTGGTCAGAACAGCACAGGGTGAAAGTACTCAGGAGAGAGGATCATAAGAACAAGGAATGGGAGAGCGGTCGGGAGGATGACAGGCCCCAGGATAGTGGCCCCAGGTGGCTACCCTTGGCAGCCAGGGTAGAGGCCTGATGGACAGCAGGAGTTGAGCTGGAGAGTGAAATGCCCAGTCTTAAGTCTCTAGGATCTTCCCCTCCCCTCGGTTTCCCTTTAGGTACTGTGGATGGATCCCAGGGGCTTCACACTGAGCTACGTACTAAGCTCCTACCTGTTTGTTTGTTTTCTTTTTGAAACAGGGTCTCACTAAGCTGCTAAGTTGCCCAGGCTGGGCTCGAACTTATGATCCTCCCTACTCAGCCTCCCAAAGTGCTGAGATGATAGGCATGTACTACCATACCCGGCTTAGAGTTTTATGACCTGCTTATTTGGTGCTCATAAACCTTCCTGCTGCTCCCCAATTCTCCACAGGGAGAGAGGATCACAATCCCCAGAGACCTCACAGCTTCCGGCTTCCCAGTGCTGGACCCTATGAGATGTGCCTGTTCCAGGCCCAAAAGCCAGAGCCCTCCTCTGTGTCTGCTTGAGTTTTCACCACCCAACCTGGGCCTTTAGCTATTGCCCTCACCCAACTGCTATTTTTAAATTTTTTTTCTGTGGTGGCCTTTTCTTCCTTTTCAGTGTCAACATTCATAAAGCCTCAGCCTGAAGCCCTTTTCCAGAGGCCCAGAAGGTGAATGTGTCAGGTTGTCTGGGCCATCAAGTCTCTGTGGCTTCCTGCTCTCCTCTTCCTTTCTTTCTATCCTCCTTTAAAAGCCCAGCACATGGCCAAGGCAGGGGGCAGGGCAGACCTGGGCTGGGCTCTTAATACAGATGGACCTGCACATCCTGGGCTCCCATAGCCCTCAGAACTCTTACTCAGAGGGGCTCGACTACATGGGGCTGGGACACAGGCTGTGGCTTGCCCTTTACCAGGATTTGAACTACATCCATGGCCTGTTCACTTCAGGATGAAGGGCTGGAAGAGAGACCCCAGGATCCCAGCCCCACAGATAATCAGCTAATCAAATGCTTGTGGAACATGGTGCTGCACAAATGGAAAACAGGAACCTGTCTCTTCCTGCCCCTGGGATGTTGTGCAGCAGATGGAGTGTGGAGCCAGGTGAGAGGCCCTGCGGTGCCGACACAGAGACCTTGGCAGCAGGGAGCAGGAGGGCGAGGGGAAGGGAAACCCAGGATCCTTCATCTGCCTGTGGAGAGCCCACTTCCCAATCATAAAGGGAATGCAGAAGGGGTGGCACTTCCCCAGGATGCAGCCCAGCCCAGCCAGAGAACACCAAAAGGGTGGGCTTTGGGTGCCTCCTTGCAGGCTGCAGGACAGTGAGGTGGGCACTGGCCAATGGCGGCAGAACTCCCTCTGGCTGAGATGGGAAGAAGGTCTCCCTCTCCAGCTCTCCCTCCCTCAACTGATGAGGGTCCCTGACTGCAATGAGGGTGGCCATGATGTTCCAGGACAGAGAGCAGGCCAGTACAGGGCTGCACCGTGCTACAGACAGCTGTCAACTGTCCACATCAGCACAAGTACCAGGAGGACTCCAGAGTGAGTGTCACCACGTCTTAGCACCACCATGATAGCTGTGCAAGGCCTTTGGGTCTTCTCCCTCAGCATCTTTAGGAGGCTGGGGACAGGGCACACAAGACTGTCCTAGAGGAGGCTGGTCTCTGTGCACACAGTGGGGCGTGGGGCAGGCTGGTTCCCTATGGGAATGTGCGATCAGTAGGTGTCCCATGACAGCCAGAGGAGGTTGGCCCAGTTCAGAGAGCCCAGGCCGGCTGCACCTCCCCCTTGGGAAGCAGCAGCCCAAAGACAGCTCTCTGGAGAGCATGGGTCTAGCAGTGGGCAGTCTGGAGGTCACAGCCAGCAAATATCGCAGACACAGAGGCACCACTGCTGACCACAACACCAGCCTAGGGTGAGAACCAGTGTGTGTGTGTGTGTGTGTGTGTGTGTGTGTGTGTGTGCCTGCCAATGAATAGGTATGCAGATGCATGGATGAGGGCATGGGTGTGTGTGCACATGTGGATGTGTGTGCACCTATGTGTGTGCACATGAGTATTGGGAGTTTTTAGGCTGATGTCCACACTGAAAGCAAATTCCAATTCTCCAGCTCAGTTATTCTATTTTTCTAGGGAAAACTCTACATAAAGCTAGATGACTTAACCTTCAATAATGACAGTTCTCCCCCAGCCACTGGTGTTTTCCCGCAGAAGGGTGCCACTGTGCCAGAGCAGGGGCAGGGCAGTCAGCTGTGCCCCAGGAGGAATGCACAGCTGAGCTGCAGATGGGCCTCAGGGAGGTACAGCACCCACATGCACCTTTGCACAGGTTTGGCACCCCGAGGGGCTGGGTTTAGGGAGGAGGCTGTGGCCCACCAGGCCCCTCCACCTGCCCTGAGGCCTTGTACAGCAAGGCTTGTCCGCTCCTCTATGGGCACCAAGTGTGGCTGCAGTATCCCACAGTTGACCCGGGTCTGCAACTTCGGCCTTTACTTTCCACTGTGATAGGTTTTTCTAGAACTGCAGATTATGACTATGTTTACATCCGTGGAACACTTCAGTCTGGTTTCTCAAATCTACAAAAAAATGGGCCGGGGATTTAGCTCAGTGGTTTTGCCGCCTGCTGCACAGGTGCAAGAACCGGAGTTCAATCGTTGGTGCCAAAAAAAAAAAATCTACAAAAAACCCAGCAGACGTGGAATCAGTGTTGGGTCTAGAAACAGAAGGCACCTGCAGAAATGGTTGTGGTAAAAGTACAGAGTAGTGTGGTCAATTCTGGTTTCAAGCTCTGGCTTTTCCTGTGCTAAAGGGACACTTGTGAGCCTTGTAGATCGGCCCAGGGTATCCCTCAAGTCAGCAAGGCTCTGACCAGCACACCCAGGAGTCAGAGGAGGACCTTGACATCCCCAGCATGTGGAAGGAGGCCAGGTAGGGGAGGAAGCCCATCCTCCCCAGGGAAGCTCCAGATACCCTTGTGGTAGTACAGGATTGGGACTGCTGGACACAGCCATGGATGACCCTGACATCCCAGGGACACTGTAGGCTGGGACCTTACCTGGGCGGGCATGGAGCAGGGCGGGTGTGTGAGCTCCCCTATCCGGGCTGCAGCACGGGGGTCACTGGAGCTGATAAGCACAGGGGCGCTGATCTCCATGGAGTGCCTGTGGGTGACTGCCTGCGAGGACTTGTGTGTCACGCTGAGCGCCGTGAAGGAATGGCGTTTCTTGGCGTTCTTCTTGCTGTCCATGCGCCGCTGAAAGGCACTGACGGCCCCCGAGCTGCCTGCTGTGGGGCCCAAGCCCGCGCTGGCCACCGTGCTGGCATCGGAGGGCAAGGGAACAGCACAGCTGGATGCTGCTGCGGCAGCTGGACACAGCTTGTCCATCTCGATGAGCTGCTTGGCAGAGTCGTTGAGCTGGGTGAGAAGGGGACAGGGCATCATTAGGTGACTGTCACCAGCTGTGCTTGCTCAGTGCTCCCTGCCACATTCCCACTTAGGAACCAGCAGTGCTCACACCGGTGGGGTCTTTCTCACCCTGGCTTCCTGCACAAGTGGACAGGTTCATGGAAGAGGTTTCCCTGGGAGCTGATGAGGGGAGGGCTCACAGGACAGAGGGGTTCCCATGACAGCCCCTTCCTCAGCTCTCATTGTTTTTGACATTTGGGGGCAACTTGCAGCCCCACAGAGATGGACCAGGGCCCAGAGAGAAAAGGAGGAAGCCTTGGCCAGCTCTGCCAGCTGCACCCACTAGGAGAGCAGCCCCCTGTCCCTGAGTCCACCAGGACAGTGTTCCCACTGGCTGCAGGTGAGGCCTCCCCAAGTGCTCCAGGCCTGGGGCCACAGGCCCTTTCAAAGAGAGAAGCCATTCAGCAAGGACTGAGCTGAGATTCCTCCTGCACCTCGACTTGTCCTACCAGACAGCAGATGCTTTTACAATGGAGCCAGCCTTTGACAAGACCTGGTCTGGTTGGTACAATGGGAAAGGACTGGTGCAGACTCCCCTGATGAACACTCAGCCAGGCCTCTCTGAGCCATGCCATTGTCTGGGTGGCCCCATGTGGGTCCCTGGGCACAGGTCCTGGCAGGTCTGTGAACCACACTGCTGCAGAAGGAAGAGCCCTGAGGTTGGGGAGCATCTGGCAGGGCCCCGGATCATAGGATGGTCGGTCGGGTCACTCTCTGTGAGCAGCTGTGTAACCTGCCTCTCCCCTGCTGGACATTTTCACTCATGATGCCTGGTGTAGGCCCTCTCTTCTCAAGTGTGTTTGGTTCAATCTAACACATACCTGATAGGGGAATTTGCAGATCTACAAGAATAAAGGAGAGAGAACTATTTATTGTGTGCAGGGTGGCCAGCAAGAAAAATGATGCAGTCAGACCAGGGTTATCGCCACAAGATGTGCTGAACAAATGTACCATGCACAGCTGGGTGAGTGCCTGCCAGTTCCCTTCCTTCTCCCCAGAAGCTCTATCCAGAGCTGGAGGAGAGGCTGAGGCATTGCTACCCACCCTTCAGGGTTCAACACAAGTCAGGAGACCCAGAGCATAGCCACCATACCTCTGTGACCTGTCTTCAACAGAAGGAGCCCACATAGCTTGTCTTCAGGACAGCTACTTGAGACTGAGGCCCATGGGGTCTCTGGGCTGCACTGCAGAGCTCCTGAGCAAGAGCGTGGAGTCTTCCAGACTGAGGACTTCCCAGAGACTGCAGAAGGGGAGCACTGGGGAAGGGAGGCCCCTATGTTCAGAAGGAAATGGGGGATGACAGTCCAGGATGTCCATGGAGGAACAGGAAGTGGGGGCCGAGTGGGCCCAGAAGGGGACTGCAGGTCACCTGGGCACTGCTCCCAGGGAGAGGCAGCACCTTCTTTCTGCTAAGCCCACATGTTGCCCTGTAGGATCCTCTAGATAAAGAAGCAGATTGGTCGTGTCCTGTTCACTCTTCACTCCAGAGACAGAGGCTGAGTGCCAGCCTCTCCTCCTGCTGTGAGGTCCTTGCTGCAGCAGTTGGGAAGGTCTCACCCCGAAGCCCTCAACATGTGTACACTGTTCCCTCCACAATGACCCAGAGATGGCATCACCCAGCTGGAGACTGGGCTGCTGGGCAGAGAATGGCAGCCACTCTATGACAGTTCCTGGTGCAAAACCAGGCCAGAAATGCTCACCTCTTCCCAGTGGGTTCCAGTGATCACACTGCAGAGCCGGCCCTGTGCCTGGCGACCCCAGTGCCATCTCCATCAGAAGGCCTCTCGCCAGCCTCTCAAGTCTTCCTCCTCTGCCAGTAGCATGGCTCCTGCATGGGCTGATGATGTTCTCCTCTCCACCTCCAGTCTGTGGAGCCCCAGCCCCCACAGTCCTGTCCACCAGGGTGAAGGTCCACAGCTAGGGACTGGGATGGTCCCTGTGTGGTGACTGTGGGCTGAAGGCTGGGTGTGGAGAGGCGGCAAGTGGCCTGGGCCATAAAAGGCCCTGCTGCACCCTCCATGTCCCACAGATCTTCTTTTTTTATGGAACTAGAAGACACATTCATCTTAATAGGAAATAGGGAGATAGTCCTCTGCAAATGGGAAAAGAACCAAGGAATGGAAGGAGGGGGAGGAAAGGGAGCAAAGGGGATGAAAAAAGAATGAAGATGTGTTGTGTGCATGTGCTAACTCCCTGTGAGGAGTGTGATCACTATGTACTGCAAACATGGACTCATAAAAAAATTTAAAACTTGCCAACAAAAAGGACTGGTGACCGTGACTGGAGGCATGGTCGCTGGGTCACTTGAAGAGTCTCAATGCACCTATTCATTTCCCAGGAGGACATCTCTGACACCACCGTGGGTGCCTTCTGGAGCCAAGCCCTGACCTTACACTCCAGGAACAGTGGGTCAGATGGGGACAGAGGTCAGCAAGGTAGGTGGCATGATCCTGTCAGTGGGACAGTGACAGTGAGATCAGTGACTCTGCCTGCCACCTATGTGGTGTGAACATGCTCCAGGTTCATGGGGCCTTGCAGGACTGGTAACATCCCCAGGCTTTCATCTCTTGCATGTTGAACTCTACATATTGGTGACACAGGCTGAGTGTCCCTGCTAAGCCCAGGTGTTGGAACCTTCAGAGTCAGGTTTCCTGGTTGGGATGCTCAGCCAGTAACATCTGTGTATATGTTCCAAACCTGTAAAACTGAACTCTGAAACACTGACAGGACAAAGCATTTCAGATAAGAGATGCTTGACCTGTCCGGGGTACCACCACTCTGAGCACACTCCTCTATTCATTCAACAAACACTCCCGGTACCCTTGCCACAGGAGCAGCTGCCACCTTTTGGGGGAGCCCATCTTAGGAAAACTCAGCTGTGCACAGGGTGAGCAGCTGTGCACAGGAAGCCAGGCCTCGGGATGATGAGGCCTGAGCTATGTCTGCCCAGTGAGGGAAGGCCTTGCATGGCCCACACTGCTCAGCACCCACTCTGCCTCAGTGCCTCCCCACTCTGCCTGCAGTCTTGTTCCCTGTCCCCGAGATCCAGGGCACAGTAGGGCGGTAGTCATGCTGCCACTGTGAGCCAAGGACAGAGGTGACTTTAGAAAACCAATGCTCGGAGGTGAGCCTCTTGGGCTGCCATACCAATGCCCCAGAGTGCTGAGGAGGTGAGCTGCATGGGTGCCAGCAACCCCCACCCCCACCCCGCTGTGCCAAGCCATTATCTGGAGCCACACCACAGAGTTGCAGGGGTCATAAAGGACACTGTTCTGAGCTTGAGAAGATAGAGTAGAAGTGAACAACAGAAAGAGGGCCTCTCTGAGGCCCCTGATGAAAATTAAAGCCCACCAGAAAAGTGAAGAAAATCTCTGCAATAAAGGCACACCAGACCACCTTAGTTGGAGGAGCAGCGGTGTGGATCAGAGCAGCGTGGCTGCAAACAGATCCCAGCCAGGGCTTCACCCCAACCCCAGAGGGTGGGGCAGACTGGTCTAAGCCAAGGGCCTGCCTGGAAAAGAGCTGTATAGGCACACAAGCAATAGCCAGAGGTTCGCCCCAATACCATCATTAAGTGTGCGAGACCCTAGCCAGAAGCTTGCTCACAAGCCCGCTGCAGACAGGCAGGTCTGCAGACACCCTATCGAGGTCCCGAGTCGAACGGAACACGCCAAATCAGCCTGCTGCAGACAGGCAGGTCTGTGGACACCCTATCGAGGTCCCGAGTCACTCAGAACACGCCGAATCAGCCCGGGCCCCAGCAACAATCCACTGGACACCCCCCCGCCCCGCACCGCTCCTCTGTACAGCCACCTGGTTCCACACTACAGAGACGCAGAGGACACCGGACCACCAGACCACGGTACTGAGTCCCACTGCTCCCAGCCCAGAGGTAGGGGCTTCTGAGCCGCCATCCCACTGCTCCTGGACCAGGGGAAGGGGCTTCCCAGCCACCATCCCTCCCACTGCTCCCAGCCCACAGGAAAGGGCTTTTGGGCCACCATCCCTACCGCTGCTCCGGCCCCTGTCCCACCTCTCCCAGCTCAGAGGAGGTAATCCGTGCAGGCACCAACAGCCCCCTCCCCCCAGTCGAAATGAGAAAACACGTAAATAAGTCTCAAAACCAGACTTCCAGATCACCTACCCCAACCCCAAAGGGAAATGAGATGGAACACTCTGATACTCAACCACCTGGACCCACTGAACTGGCAACAAAAAGGGATCTGGAAAAAATGAAAAAATGAAATCAGAAGCTTGCTCACACAACAGGAACTGGGGTGCACAGCCCCCAGCCAAAGACCCTCCCAGACAACAGTTACATAGGGGCCCTAGCCAGTGGCACACCTAGATATCATCCCAAGTGTGCACAGGCCCCAGCCAGATGCCCACCCAGATAACAGGTCAGCTAAAGGATCCAGAAGGCCACCACTCTGAACCCAGGAATTGGCGTACTGATGAACAGCAGAGAAAAGGCAGCTCTGTGGCTTGCTGAGAATTGAAGACCACTGGGTGAGCAAAAAGTCACCTCAACAAAAACACAGCAGGCTGCATCTGTTGAAATGAAGAGAAATGTAAATAAGTCCAAAAACCAGACTTCCAGATCACCTAAGGGAACCCCAAAGGGAAATGAGATGGAACAATCTGATATTCAACCACCTGGACTCCCTGAACTGACAATGAAAGAGGATCTGGAAAAAATGAAATCAGAAATAATTTCTCACATAACAGCAGAGATTGTGCCCATAGTGCAAGACATGATTAATAAATCTAGAGTGTACACAGATTAAAAAAATAGAGGACCTGAGGAACATGATGCAATCCCAACATAGGAAACAAATGGAGTCCATAAAACAGATGCAAATAGATTTCCAGGAGATTAAAAACTCCATTGAAAGTTTATGCAGCGGAATGAGCCAGTGTGAGGACATATACAGAAGATAAGGACAGAT